TCATGAGCGTTTGAATGGGACAAACTGCAATGTCCGTGGCTGGTTTCACTGCCACAGGCAGAGTTGAGGAGTCCAGTGACTGTGTGGCCCCCAAGATCAGAGTATTTACTCCTGGCCCTTCAGGAGGAAGCTTGGCAAACCCCGGACAGTGTTGTCAGGGCCACAGACTCACCAGCAGCGGTTTGCGTGCGGCGCTGGGGGCCTGGGCTGTGCCTGGAAGCCTGGGTTCCTGGAGAGGAGAGCCGGCAGGTGTGTTGTGCGGTTCAGGTTGTGCGTTTGGTAGACATTTTCTCAAAAAAGAAAGAAGCAAGACTGTCTCACCAAGGAAAACAACTGATAACATGTGTTTCCAGGGATAAATTTTGCATTTTCAACCAAAAATTTGAATCTTGAAGAATATCTGTGTCACCTTGATAGTTGTGCAGTTCTCAGCCTCTCTGCTGAGCTCAGGGTGGCGCTCACAGGGTGCGGCGTTTTCAGGTTGTAGGATGGCGTGTGGGCACTGGGAAGAGCCCGTAACTCAGTTCTCCGGTGTTTCCCAGTGATGAACGTGAGCGGTGCGTTCACAGCCGAGAGACGGCCGTGGCCGTGATGTCACAGCTGGCGGCGCAGTTTCCAGTTCCGTGTGGCAAGTCGCCTCCCACTGCTGAGTGTAGCTGTCGTACCAAAAAGCAGCAGCCACAGTTGTTCCAAGAAAGGATGAAAACGCTTGAAGTTCAGGTGTCTCAGCAGCAGAGAGTTTAGAGCGGGGAGTGACCTCAGAGTTGCTCGGCGCCACCCCCACTTCATAGGTGAGGAAGTAGAGGCCAGCCTGCCGCTCCCAGGAAGTGGCCGAGCAGGGTGGGTGTCCAGCGTCACTTTCCCCGAGGCCGAGTGGTGTGAGCATCTTCTCACCTCTGTGCTCATTGGCTGTCGCACAGCTTCCGGGTTCACCCAAGTCCTCTGCCCACTGTTGAATGGAATACTTGCCATTGTATTGTGGGGTATGCCTCTCTCACCAAGTAGACGGTTTGCAAATATTTCCTCCCGTTCTGTGGGTTGTCTTTTCACTTTTCTAAAGCTGTCGTTTGCAACACAAAAGCTTTGAATTTTGATGAAATCTAGTTTATGTATTTATTTGTTTTGTTTTGTTGCTTGAGCTTGTGGTGTCGTAGCCAGAAAACTATTGCCTCCCCCACAGATGTGTCCTGTTTTTTGCTGGGAGTTTCACAGCTTTAGCTCCTCCATTTAGATCGTGGCCCATTTGAGTTCGTTTTTGTGTCTATTGTGAGGAAGGGACAGCTTCATTTGCTCACGTGTGGATGCCCGTTGTCCCAGCATCATTTATTGAAGAGACTTTCTAACCCCACTGCGATGTCTTGGTACCTTTTATCATCCTTTCCAAGTAAACTCTTTGAGAGAAATACCTTCTTCTATCATTTCAATAAAACAAGGGTTTGTGATTTACCAAAGTGATCAAACACCCATTCATGTGATGCTCTGTTGGTTTGTTCACAGCCCAGCAGGCCTGGTTATCCTAGTCCGAGGTCCAGTGAAGGGTTTTATCCCAGCCCGCAGCACATGGTGCAGACCAACCATTACCAGGTACGCAGATCTTACCGAGACAAGAGCCGCTCTCTCTCCTTTGCAAGGCTCGGGGGCGGGAAGGGTGGGTGTGTTTGTGTTTTTACCTGTGTACTTAGGAGTATGTCAAGGGGCACGTTGTCCTGACATTCGTGTGGACTGTGAGCACTCACCGCTCTGAAAGCAGGCGGGGCAAGTGTCTCACGGCCCACAGTTCCCAGGCCGGCCCCCTTCCTCCTGCTCCCATACAGTACAGGGCCCCGTAGGCATGCGCTCTGCAGAGCCACTCAATGGGCAGTTCTCCTGGGAGCCAAGAATAAGATTCAAAAGTGCCTTAAAAGCCAGATGAGCCCTGGCTGGTGTGCTAAGTGGTTAGAGCATCGGCCCATGCACTGAAGGGTCATGGGTTCAATTCCCGGTCAAGGGCACATACCTGGGATGCAGGTCTATCAATCCCTGGCCTGTCGGGGAGTGGTGGGAGGCAAGCAGCTGATGTGTCTCTCTCACGTTTATGTTTCTCTCTCCCCCTCCCTTCTCATCTCTCCCCCTTTTCCCCTCCCACTCTCTCTAAAAATCAATGGAAAAATATCCTTGGGTGAGGACTAACAAAACAAAAAAGAGATCCAGATGAGTTGCCACATGGGCAAGTGTGGAAGGAAGGGTGGGCTTGCAGACAAGTAACCTGCACAGAGAAGTGAACCCTTAAGAGAAGGGCCAGAGCAGTCAGTCGTGGTTGGTTCGGATTTCTGAGGGAAGGTGTCAGCTTTTCTTACGAGGCAGGAAGCCAGGGCTCAGTGGGCACTGAGCAGGGGTCGGACCCAGCATTGTTTCAGGAGAACATGGCGGCTCTGAGAGAGGAGCGCTCGGGTCCTGAGAGCTGGGTCCTCGCCCGGTGACGGGCGCGCCGGCCATGGCGCTTGCCGGCTGGGGCTCTGGTGCGTGTTTGCTAGTGGCGGGTGTCCCCTGAGGCAGCAGTGTGTACAGTGGAGGCCAGAGAGGGGAGGACAGGAATGAGCAGCCCTCCGCTCTGGGTGGGAGCAGCTGCAGGGCCTTCCCTGGCGGTGTGTCGGGTCCTCTGTGGCCTGAAGTGCTCCTCTGTCTGCCACTGCTCGGTGTGGAGAGAGTGCCTTAAGGCCTCCCAAATCTCTTTGCTGTGATTCCTAAACGCTCATTGGCCGTAAGGTGTCCTTTCTGACCAACTACAGTGAGCAGAAACATCAGCATTTTCTGTTCAGCAGAATTTTTACTATTAAACATGGGCTGCAGTAAATGGAGAGAACTGTCTCGATGTCTCATTTGACAGTTTAATTCCATATTGTCGGGACGGAGATGGGCATCAGTCAATGCCTGGAGGCCTAACAGATACACAGAACCTCTGCTGAAGGCTGTGTGCCTATTGGCTGTTCTTTATCTCATTCAACATGTGACTGAGAACCCGGGCCAAGGTACCAGCCGCGTGAGCTGCGGGAACAAGTGCAGGGTCGTCTGTCCTCTCTGAGAGAGAGGGAGCGGATGAAGAAGCCTCTCACTTCCTCCTGCCTGACGTTCTTCTCCTGTTGGACTCATGCATCTTCGTTAGAACTTGAAGATTGACTCCCCACCACCAGCCCTTGTTCACCAGGGCACAGCCTTTTGGGGCTTAGTCTGTTGGGTTGGGCAGGAGGGGTTCCATGGCAGTGCCTGGCGCAGCCTGTGGGCGGCCTCGGACGCTGCTCCCAGCTCTGGTCAGTGTAGGCTTCTGACTGCCGGGCGTGTTGGCGGCGTTGTCTGCTGCGGCCTCAGTGCACACTCCCCGGGGTCCCTGCATTCCTCGCTGGTGACCTTCCTCCCCCTTCAGAGCCGACAGTTGGTGAGGATCTCTTGATCTTCACGAGTCAGTCTCCCCCCAGCCCCCTGCTTCCCTCTTGCACTCTCTAAGGAACCTTGAGGTCACATCAGGTCCACTCCCGTCTCAGGTTCCACATTTATGTCCATCTGCAAAGTCCCTTGGCCCTGTCAAGTGACCGCGAACTGGATGCGAACAGCTGGGGCTGTCATTGGGCCCCACAGCATCCTCCAGACCAGGGGTGGGCAAACTTTTTGACTCGAGGGCCACAATGGGTTCTTAAACTGGACCGGAGGCCGGAACAAAAGCATGGATGGAGTGTTTGTGTGAACTAATATAAATCCAAAGTAAACATCATTACATAAAAGGGTACGGTCTTTTTTTTCAATAGTTTTATTCATTTCAAACGGGCCAGATCTGGCCCGCGGGCCATAGTTTGCCCACGGCTGCTCCAGTCTGTTATCCCCTCTCCCGTGGCCGCAGGCTCTGCAGAACTCGTGTGGGAACCTGACCCACCACTCACTCGCCCGCAGGTCTCTGGTTACCCTGGCTCCCACGGAATCCCAGCCCTGGCGGGCAGCATGTACCCGGGGCAGGCATCCCTCTTGGACCAGACAGACTCGTGGAATCACAGGCCCCAGGAGATGTGCATGTGGCCGCCCAGCGTGGAGGTAAGCTGGTGCTCTCAGGCGTCCGTTCCCTCACAGATGAAGCTTTGCCCGAGGCCCCTTCTCCTCCTGAATCCTGGGGTGTCATGTTGGTGACCCACGTCTCAGGCCAGGACGCTCCTTTTCCTCGATGCTTTCTGGTGCTGTGAATCCTCCTCATTAACGAGAGGAGAGATGCCATCAGCATTAGCCCGTTGGTTTGGAAGGCAGACCCTAGACCAGTGGTTCTCAACCTTCTGGCCCTTTAAATACAGTTCGTCATGTTGTGACCCAACCATAAAATTATTTTCGTTGCTACTTCATAGCTGTAATGTTGCTACTGTTATGAATCGTCATATAAACATCTGATATGCAGGATGGTCTTAGGCGACCCTTGTGAAAGGGTCTTTCGACTGCCAAAGGGGTCGCGACCCACAGGTTGAGAACCGCTGCCCTAGACTGACTGGAATAGGCGTGGAGCTGAGGCAGAAGCAGGCAGACGGAGCCGTCAGTGCTTTGGCCTCTGCCTGGGGCCCTGCTCCCTCCCAGACCCTTGGCGCTGTCCCCTAGGACTGAGCACACCTGGCACGGTGCTCACTCGCCCCTCACAGTGTCTCCCTGCCTGTGCGCTGAGCGTAGCGATGGTACTGTCTAAAGACGCTTGGCACGCGGCCACTCGCAGCCTCCAGGAACTTCGCCCCACAGCAGCGTGAGCCAGTGTCTCCACACCCGGCTTCCTCGTGGGAAAGGCAGGGAAGGAGTAAGAGCTTCACAGGGAGACCTGAGAGCACTGCCGTTTCTGCCCCCAGGACCCCGCGGCGCTGGACCTGCGCGGGATCGGACAGGTGCTGCCCACACACCTGATGGAGGAGCGGCTGATCCGGCAGCAGCAGGAGATGGAGGAGGACCAGCGCTGGC